TTCTTTGGAGAGCTACATTTTTTTAACTTAAATTTCTTCTAACGCCACTTCTGCAAAATATACTCGCCCAGGCCGTGGTATTTTGTGGAAGAGCCACACTCAAGGGGCCAAAGAGCTGCATGTGGCTTGCGAGCTGCAGTTTGCTGACCACGAGGCTAGCTCATTGTATCCAAGTCCTTTAACTGTTTATAGGACAGTTCCCTGGCACTAGACAGCTGCTTAAAATCCATGCTTCATAACCTGGAAGGCTCAGGTTTTGGATAACACGGCCTCACAGTGTGAGTCTAATACAAGGCCACATGAAGGCACAGTTTTCTTGTGTAAGGGTATAAAATCGGGCCACAAATGTGCATTTTGTTTAAAATATATTTGATTGATTTTTAAAATATATTTGATTGATTTTTTTTATAGAGAAGAGGGGAGGGGGAGAGTTAGAAACATCAATGAGAGAGAAACATCAATCAGCTGCCCCCTCCACACCCCCTACTGGGGGTATGCCCGCAACCAAGGTACATGTCCTTGACCGGAATCGAACCTGGGATCCCTGAGTCCGCAGGCTGACGCTCTATCCACTGAGCCAAACCGGTCAGGGCCACAAGTGTGCATTTAGAGAAAAAGAACCAACACAAAGCCACAGAACCATGAACAGACAGAGGGAAAGTGTGACCAAGAAGGAGAAGGTGAGGCAGTAGCAGATAAGTAGCACTGGTGGTTAGTAAACAATTGAGCATAACAGTATATTTGGCATCTTAATACCCACCCACTCCAGGCACCCACCCCAATCCTCACGTTTTCAGCCCATCAGCAACGCCTCAGCTAGATGGGTGTCTACTTTCTCCGAAAGACACAGTTGCCCAGCATTTAAACATTCAGAGTTTGCATACAGCCCTAGCTAGTTTGGCTCAGTGGTTAGAGTGGCAGCCCGCTGACTAAAGGGTCTCGGGTTCGACTCCAGTCAAGGGCACATACTTTGGTTGCAGACTTGATCCCCAGCTCTGGTCAAGGCAACCAATCGATGTTTCTCTCTTGCATCAATGATTCTGCCTCTATACCTTCCTTCCCCTCTCTCTAAAAATCAATGGAAAGAATATCCTCAGGTGAAGATTAACAACAACAACAAAACTTTGCATCTTGTGGGAAAGAGTGACTCAGAAGCCACTTTAATGCTGCTTTTCTACATTTCTGCAAAATGGCGTTTCTGCCCCTATACACACACACACACACACACACACACACACGCACGCACGCATGCACGCACACACACCTTCATGGGTAATAGCCATTTGCAAAATTAATTTCTAGGAAAAAAGGCTCAGAAAATATCACTCTAAAGACATTATCCCAAAACCAAACATTCTCTTTAATCTGTTAGCTCCCATTGCTAGCAGTTTGTATGCTATCCCTGATGCAAAGTTGCTTTTCCTCCATGATATACATTTGCCACCAAACGGAGGGAGAGACCTTCAGCACAGGTTTCTCTCTTCAACTGCTTTCTGAAAACTGTGAACAGTCTCAATTCTCCCCAGTCTGAAATGTCAAATGAGATTAAAAAAAAATCAATCATCTAGTTCCTATCTTAACGTTTGTTTCCGGGGAATAAAATTCCCACTAGAAAAATACTACAGGTTTGTTAAAGATCATTCTGAGGTTAGTTTATAGAAGACCAATTTTAAACTCATTATTAGTTACCTTTCAATCAGCAGCTCCATGTCCTCAGTCAATAGTTTTTATGCAAATAATTTAGGTAATAATTAATGTAAGAAAGGAAAGTGACAGAACAACCAGATTGGTGGGGTTGTGACAGAGAACTTGACCACATGAGTCCACATGAGCCCGCTCAGTGGTCTTCACTGGCTCAAGAGCTCGTCACCTATGGCTACACTGTGGGGCTCACATGGACCTATATTCTATAGGGAAATACTAGCATATGAACCAATGCTCACTCTACAATATAACTAGTAGGACATGTATACAATGGAGTACTATGCAGCTTTAAAAAAGAGGGACCTCTTTCCCTTTAGGACAGCATGGATGGACCTGGAAACTATTATGCTAAGTGAAATAAGCCAATCTGAGAAAGACAAATATCACAGGATCTCACTTATTTGTGGAATCAAATAAACAAAGTGAATTGACCAACAAAATAAGACCCGAAGCAGGGAAGCATGGAACAGACTGACATATCTTGATGTGGGGTTCTGGAGATGAGAAGAGATAAACCAAAAAAAAATAAAAATTATATATATATATATATATATATATATATATATATATATATATATATATATATACAAAAGCCTAATATACAAATCCAACTGAGCAGCTGAATGACTAGCAGAATGACCACTTGGTATGGCATTCACTGACCACCAGGAGGCAGATGCTCAATGCAGGAGCTGCCCCAGTCTGCAGGCCCAGGCCAGCCAAGGTGGGTGCCAGTGAGGGGCCCTCCTATCACCCCACCGGTTGCCCCACAGATTGGCCCTGATTGCCAGTCAGGCCTAAGGACCCTACCCGACCCTATCCATGCACAAATTTCACGCACTGGGCCTCTAGTATACTTATATGCACAGCCCATAGATGAGGGCAATATGATGGTGAAGACCTGGGGGTTGGGTAGGGGCTAGGAGGAGGGGATTAAGGGGGGAATGGAAGATATCTGTAATACTATCAACAATAAAAATATGTTTTAAAAATAAAACATAACTAGAGAGTAATGCCATTGCTATTCTTAACATGAATTTTCTGGACGACCTCTGTAGACACCAGGAGCTCCAAACAAGTTGTTGAAAAATGTCCCTTTCCTGACTTTACAACTTTAATGGCCTCGCAACCAGAATTCACTACATTCACATCCACTCCGATTAACAAACAATTCTCTGCTCCCAAATGCCCCTCCCAGTACACCCTCCCAACACACACACTGGTTGGCTGGTCTGTCTGCCTCGCTTTTTCCCCTTTACCTTTCACATCCCACAAAATAGAGGTTGAAATATGCTATTTCCGTTTTTCTAATCACACTTTTCAGTCCGCTCTGATATGGTTTTTGCACTTAATCTTCTACTAAAAAGATTTTAAAAATATATTTTATTGATTTCTTACAGAGAGGAAGGAAGAGGGACAGAGAGTTAGAAACATCAATGAAAGAGAAACATCGATCAGCTGCCTCCTGCACACCCCCCACTGGGGATGTGCCTGCAACCAAGGCACGTGCCCTTGACCGGAATCAAACCTGGGACCTTTCAGTCCGCAGGCCGACGCTCTATCCACTGAGCCAAGCTGCTCAGGGCCTAAATATATTTTTGTAGAAATAACCAGTGATGTCCGTTCATTAAGCCCAATGACAGTAAATGTTTTAGACTGTGGGCCAATAGGTCATAGTCTCTGACTCAGCGGCTTCACCCTGACATTGTCGTGTGAAAACAGCCACAGGCATGCCCAGGTCCCTGAGCCTCTCAGAAGGCTGTGGGCTGGGGCACAGTTTGCCAGTCCTGATATCAAGACTAGCAATCCCTTCCCTGTTGCTGACAGATTCATTTCAACTGTTACTTTCTCATTGAAACTTCCGGTCAAGACAATCCTCCTTATGGAATGTGCCTGCCCCACAGAGTACGTTTCTCTTTCATAGAACGGATCCTGACTGCCATCGATCAGGTATTTATAAAATTCCTCACCAACATTCCTCTGCCCTATGAGGCCGGAAGGGCTTCCCGTTTCCCGATGAGACTGGGAACGGTATTGACTCTGCTGTTATATTCCCAGTAGGTGGCGGAGAACACGACACGTGATGGCAATCAATAAATATTTGTCCAGCGAAGGACTGATGAGTTTGCTATCTGGCCCTCAGCTGGCAACCTCACCTTCCTCAGCCCCACTCCCCCGTCTGCAAACGGCAGCGATACCAACAGCTCCTTCCAAACTCTGTTTCACGGTAAGACAATAAGACAACACGTGTGAGAGCATTTGGGGAACTCGAGAGCACTATGCAAACGTAATCCTTGGCCCTCTGGCTGAGAATGGCTTTTTGGTTATATAAAAGCGGTAAAAAACAAGTCAGAATCCGAACGAAGACAGCTGTGTGGACAGAGAGCACGTGTGGCCCCCAAAGCCCAAGACATGTTACTCTCTGGACCTTGCAGAAACACCCAACTTTCTCCTCCTCCCCACTCCCGACATCCAGCCCCCGCCCCTTCCCGCCAAAGGCTGACAGCTATGGTCATGTGTGACCTGTTCACTGAAATATTTTTCCTGGGGAGTTCATCATTACGCAGACATTATAGGTGACACCTCTACAGGAAACAAGGGACTGTGTTTATTACAAAAAATACTGCACAGGATGAAGATTCAAGTTGGAACTCTACACTTAACCTGCCAACTCGAGCATAAATCCATCCGTCTCTCTGAGCCTGCGTTTCTTCTTCTGGGAAAAGAGAGTAAAGGCCAGGATGCTAGTGAGTAGATGGCTAGTATGAGCCACGTGCTTTGTATATATTACACTGGATTTTTATATTCAACTGCATAGTAGGTATGATTAGCCCCGATACAGATGAGAAACTGATGCTCAGAGAGGGTGGGTAACCTGCTCACAGCCACAGCCTTGGGGAGAACCAGAGGCAAACACTCCCAGTGCCACCTCTGCTTAGATATCGACCTTCTTAGGCCCTACTGTGCGATTCATCTTACAAAAAGCCCACAACTTCTGGAGGAGAACGTTAGAAGTTCCTCCCAATTACATCGCCAAAGCACACCTTAAAGGGGACGGTTCTGTATCACATCTCCTCTCGTGTCTCTAGAGAACAGTTAGGACGAGGTGCTTTCCGCCCTGTGTATTATAAAAGCCCAAGCGGAGAAAGCATAAAGGCATAAGAGTGTGGGGTTTTGAGCACGCCCCTTAAGTAGCCGAGCAATCACGAGTTCTATTTATTGCACAGCGATTCCTAGTCTGTTTATGAACCAAACGGGTCTCTATGGCACAGCAATTGACAGTTAAAGCTTCTTACCTTTGCTTCATGATCTCATGGAGTCTCCCATGCTGGACGCACTGCTCCTCCAGCTCCTCGTTTCTTTCCTGCAGCTTTTTCAGTTTCTCGTAGGCGTACTTCTTCTCCTGGCTGAGCTGGGCCACTGCAGATCTGGAGAAGTGAGAGCACAAACATAACAAAGGTTGGAGGTTCTTACTGCTAGAGCATCTTGTGGTTTTTTGTTTGTTTTTTTAAAATATATTTTATCGATTTTTTTACAGAGAGGAAGAGAGAGGGATAGAGAGTTAGAGACATCGATGAGAGAGAAACATCAATCAGCTGCCTCTTGCACACCCTCTACTGGGGATGTGCCCACAACCAAGGTCCATGCCCTTGACCGGAATCGAGCCTGGGACCTTTCAGTCCGCAGACCCATTCTCTATCCACTGAGTCAAACCGGTTTCGGCTAGAGCATGTTTTGATTGTGTAACCTTGACATTGTCTGAAACTCCTATTTTAATCTAATAGTGCAAATAAAAATGTATGTAAAGTAAAATATTTCAGGAATTGTAGACTATCTGGAAGAGGGGTCTACGTGGCAGAGACTCGAGTGGCAGACAGATAAAGGGATAACTACTCTAACAGAGATGGCTTCGCCAACCAGACAACAATGATAATGATCAAACCCCTTTTAAAAAAAAAGGCCATCGTTCATTTATCGAATATTTACTGAGTTGTCTATGTTAGGCCAGCAGCAGGCTGTTAATGGTGCAACCCCACATGCAATTTCTATAACAGAGAGTAGTTTCTTTTAAGTACCACAGCTAATTTAATGGCACACGATTAAAATCATATAGTTTCAAAAGGCATAATAATGACAACTGGCAGTCCTCCGCCCCTGGACCTCCTACCCAGCTGAGCGGCGACAAATCCTTTCAAAAATGTTAAAGCTATTTCTTCTGGTATTTTCTCTTTGTACTTCTTCATTTGCTTAGAGTTCAATACCTCATATTTCGTAAATTAAACATTTATACTGATCCATTATGGTAGAGGAAGATTAAACTATTTTTCATATGCCCTCTACGACCATCTCCACCTTGTCAATGTCATTATTAGCATTTTAACTTGTGGTTAAATTGTTATCAGTATTTATGTTATGAAGACTGCCTATGTATTGATCCTTGCTCTCTAAGTGGTATATTATGATTACATTGGCATTTGTGTGCGTTTATTTTCCCCGAATGAGTGGGCGTCAGTGTAAGAGCAACTGAGCGGCAAGCTACCTTTTCCGGTGGGAGACCCCCAAAAGCAGTATCTGTACTCCTTTCCGCTGTGGCCTCTGTTTTTCAAGAGAAGGGGCCTCCAGTCTCCTGCCTCGTGTGTGTACAACCTGACTGTCAGTGGCCTAGGGGCTAGGGGGAAGTGGAGGGTGCGGATCTCACCTTTCAGAATGCAGGCTTCCTCCTAATCCCTCTATTCTAGCGTCAGCGCCCCTATTCTAACCAGCGCCTGCTGGTTGACTCTCTTCTGAGAAGATGCCTCTAGTTTTCCGGGTGGAAGAGGGACAGTTACACCTGACTTCATGGGGGATAGGGGGGGGGGGGAAACTGTCCATTTAGGTTTCAGTCCTTGTACCACACCTGCCTTCCAAGCTAAGAGCAGGCAGCTTCCTCCACTTTGCTACACCAGGGACCATGCCCCCAACCTCCCCCTGCCTTCACACATTTCATTTGGGGCTATAGCTATCTACTCCGGTGATGGCTGACATCCCTATTCAGTGTCTTCGATGACTAAACTACCTCAAATCTCCAAATGTGAAGATCAGAAAGATGTCTGTCCAAGAAAAATCGTATCCTTGTCCTTCTTTGAATGTAACATGGTTCCCACGAATAGCATCTCTTCCTGGTTAGAACAGAGTTTAAAACTCTTGCATGTTAAATGATGAGTTAATGACTGGCTCGTTTCTCAAAGTTTAAAGACTTGCTGTAAAATTATTTCCCTCCAAAGAAAGGGTTCCTCCGTTTGGAGAGAAAGCCTGCCGTTGGTGGTGAAGAAAAGCTTTAACTTGGCTAATGGGATTCACCCCCAGGACCGGCTGCTTCCAGGGGGGAAGCCATCTCTCACCTTTAGTTCACCTCCGTCCTGTTTTGTTCTCATCTTGGTTCACCTGTCACGTCGCAGGGAGCTCGCCCTGATTAATACCTAGCGGTTCTCAATATGTCAGCACGTTTTCTGAAGCTACCTCTCACTTTTATGCATGCATTAGCCTCTAATTTATTCTTCAAAGCTGTGCTCTATGCCTCATCTTCCTTACTAGATTATACATGGGGGCATGGATTATCTCATTTTCAAGCTCAGATCAAACACTCAACCTACGTTTGCTTCTCCTAATAAGAATTTACTGATATTTGAAATAGCCTAAATGAATTAATGACTTACATGTCTCCTTTCAAAAATCACATACAATATAAGAAATAGGAGCAGTTTTCTAAGAAATCGTTAACTTTGTTTTCTCCCAAGACTAGTACCTCCTATCAAAATATGCACTATGCACTAAAATACAATTCTGAAAGGACAAAAATAAATAAATCCATAAACCAAATTAGGAAAAAAAAGTGCAGAATAATAATTATCTATTTTTAGGTACTTTTCCAAAACAAAAGTCACTTTTTAAAAAGAAAAACCACAATGGAAACATAGATTTTATAATCTAAAAATATAGCTCTAACTGGTTTGGCTCAGTGGATAGAGCATTGGCCTGTGGACTCAAGAGTCTCGAGTTTGATTCCAGTCAAGGGCATGTGTCTTGGTTGCGGGCACATCCCCAGTTGGGGGTATACCGGAGGCAGCCGATCAATGTTTCTCTCTCTTCCTCTCCCTTCTAAGTCTCTCAAAAACCAATAAAATCATATTAAAAATATGATGCTGATAAGACAGGAATTCCACTTTATAATTAAAAATATACTTTGGCCTGTGTACCACATATTAATATGGATTATCTCTATCTCTCAGTGTCAGGATTAGGAAATAAATTTTGCTTCTTTCCCCAGACTTTCTGAATTTTTACAATGGGCATGTATTTAAAACAAAAAGATAAAGTCACTTTTGTTTTTTAAAAAAATTCATAAAAGCAAAAAGAACTGAGAGCAAGTTTTTGAAAATTTACAAAAAGGAACTGGAAACACACAAGATGAAACGAAGGAAGATTAGAGATATTATTTAATAAAGTGCTATCCCCACTCTCCATCACAGTCTAATTAAAAAAAAAATACAAGTGATATGAAAAATAGTCCCAGAGGAGGAAACAAATGGCCGATAGACATTTATAAAGTATTCAATTTTGCTATTATTCAGAGAAATCCATAATAAGACCAGATTACAGTCATATATTTATTGCATGCCTACTCTATGCCAGATAGTGAAATCCATCCTTTATATTAATGGTCTCAATGAATCCTACAATGTAAGTGTTTATTTCCTTTTCTTGGACAAGCAAACACGATTTAATGATTTACCTAACATCACTCCAATGGCCATTAGCCAAGCTCAGACACAAACACAGGTCTCTCTTCAAGGGTGGTGCTACCCACTGTGCAAAATTGCCTCTCACTTTTTAAATTTAATGTCTCACTTCTCTCACGGATATGTGAACATATACACCACGAGCAGAATTCATTTAGTACTTAACACAGTAACACACATTAATAGTTTTTCAGGGGTTCATAGTCTTTGGACCAAAATAATCCCCATGTAGGCTTCTCCACTAACGGAATCATCAAAAATTCAGATTTATGTACAGAATTATCATTCTATTATTCATCACCGTTAAAAATTGGAAACATCTTAAATGTCTTGTGCATACAAATGATTCAATTAAAATTATAGTTCCAAAGCGTTTCGTGATCTAGAAAAATGTTCATGAGGCAACAGTAAGTGAAAGAGCAGAGTACAAACTGTATTGATAGTGTAAGCTCATTCACAATATAAATGTGGGCTTACAGACACATTTACATGCTCCCAGAAAATTAATCATAGTTAGCGGGATGGTACTGTCACAGAACGTGCCTTCTCTAATTCATCTTTGCATTTGCATCTAAATGCCCTATTTTGAGAATGCCTTTCTCCTAGAGTCACACAAATATAAGTGTCATTAGTATCGTACATCTTACTACCAGGTATTTTATTGCTGAAATATTTTTTTCTGCTTTGCATATTTTTGGAGCTTCCCCCCACCCCTTTATTTATAATGATAATTTGCCTACCAACTTCCAATGTTCAAAAAGAATTTGATAAGTGGACATGGACATGATCTTTTATCTGCCTTGAGCCAGTGGTATATTGAATGAAAGGATAGTTTGCAAAGTTGAAAGAGTAAACCTACAAATTTCTGGGTTAGTCTGAGATCACATCTGTGGCAGGATTATTCTAGTGTCACACAAAAGGGTAATTGACTTTAATCCACTTTCATAGAAAATGTAGGTGAATTCTGGCTTTACAGAAGCATGAACTTCCCCCTGCATTTTTATATACCAGCAATAGTGTGTAATTGCATTGGCATGAAATATAGTATTTTGCTAACATTAGGATTACAGCGATAATTGCTTTTTAAGAGAAGACATGACCCCTGATTTTTTTATTCTTTTAGATTCTCATTTGACTTTTGGTAACAATTAGCAGAGTCTGACACCAGTCTCCTCTTACAGAATATAATTTCTGTAGCATCTAAACAAGCAGAAAAAAAAACTAGTTCATCCGGGTGTGTGTTCTTTACTTCAATTAAACTCACACAGTTGGATACCTCCCGTTGCCAAAACAGTAATATAATTTATACATTATAGTCCACACAGTAAAACTCCACTAAAAGTCATTTAACAATATTTATAACGCCATAAAGTACAGTGTTAAAATATATGAACTGCAATATGTACCGAAATTATAAAATTTGTTTCTCATCATCAGTGATTAAAACCGGGATCATTGCTCTAGCCTCAATACCCACAACCCTGGTGGCAGATTAGGATTCAAATCTTAATGATCAATTTACAATTAACAAGATAGAAGTGAAACAAATTAAACCAACCATTATATATAACGAGACCCGGCGGACTCCCATTGTTCCTCTTAATTACAAAACGCAGATCACAAATCCACGACGGGCAGAGGGTTCGACACCGCTCCGCCAGCCCGGCAACCTGGGGAGTGACAGTGATGGAGGAGAAAGAACAGAAGCAAAACCCTGCCGCCCAGTTCTGCGCTCTACATCCTGTTCTTTATGACATAGGAGCGTGGAGAGGCCAAACCCCAGCAGGTGCTCAGGCCACGGCCACGGCCACGGCCCAGGCTCCCTCCAGCCAGCCCCAGCCTCACTGGGCATCCCAGTGCCTGGGAGGGGGGACCTTCTAACATTTGGACAAAGCAAAATCGCAGCAGCACGAAGGTATTTAAAAATCTCCACTTCCCAAGTTCAAAAACTCCCCTGCCCCTGCTTGGAGAACTGTCAGCGCCTGGGGAACCAAGGGGGAGGGGAGCTGAGGGTATCTGAGCTTCGGGGAGCATCAGCCAGAATGTCTGCCTGGTGTTAATGGAAAGGAAACGACGGATTCTCCTGTCTGGCCGTCAAACACGGCGAGACAGAATGCCCCAGACGTGCCAGTCACAGGCCCCGGATTAGGGACCTGCAACAGCAGCAGCAGCGTGGAATATGCAAGGTGCTAATGACAGGGCTTCAGAGAACAGAAGCAATCCGCACCACTATTGGGAGAAACACACACACCAGACACACGCTCACACCACACACATGCATGCACATGCGCGCACACACACATGCATGCACAAGCACACACACACACATGCACACATGCACCACACACGCACGTAGGCATGTGGGAACCGCTTCTGAACGCCTCCCTGTGAGGATGGGGTAGAGAGGCAGAGTGTACAGGCCCTGCTGGCCCCAGCTGTCACTTTCCTACTCATTCTGCACCGGCTCCAGTCACGTGACCAGGTCTGTGAGTAAAGAGAAAGCTTATTTCTCATGGAAGGAACCCATCATCGGTGTAATGTGGGATTCTGGATAACATGAAACTCTCAGAGAGATGCCACTAAGAAAAGACAGCAATAAAAATGTGCTTTCAGCTGTTGGTAGGCACGGAATTAAATACACCTGCTTTCAGGAAAAATCTTACCGTAGAAATCAGAAGCAAACTTGGATTGAATGTACCACATGGTTCAAATAGTCATTCTGGAGACTGAGTTCCAAACAACACTCTAAGATCTCACCTCAGAGTTCAGAGGAAATGGCTTATCCCTGAAGTTTAGGGAGTTTAGTAAGTTTATAATTTTTATTTCAAAAGGAACACTCCGAGCTCTTCAAGTTTTAAGGGTGGTTTCAAAGCAGAAAGCAGTATCAAAATGGAACGTTATATTTTGCATGGATTTTGAAAATCTCATAGTCTTTACATCAAGCCAGGGGGAATGAGGCTGGATAGAGAAATTTAAGAGTAAACAAACAAACAAAAAAATAACTCTAAAAATCACAATTTTCCCTGTGTACTATATTCTTTTTTTAAACAATATATTTTATTGATATTGTACAGAGAGGAAGGGAGAGAGAGAGTTAGAAACATCGATGAGAGAGAGTCATCAATCAGCTGCCTCTTGCACACCCGCCACTGGAGATATGCCCGCAACCAAGGTACATGCCCTTGACCGGAATCGAACCCGGGACCTTTCTGTCCCCAAACCGACGCTCTATCTATTGAGCCAAACCGGTTCGGCTGTGTATTATATTTTTATGAGACACATGAGATACGTATTTTATAAAGCTGAGAAGCCTTTTAAAGTTTTTTAAAGGAACAAGCCCTCGCCAGTTTGGCTCAGTGGATAGAGTGCCGGCCTGTAGACTGGAGGGTCCCAGCTTCGATTCCAGTCAAGGGCACATGCCCGGGTTGTGGGCTCGATCCCCAGTAGGGGGAGTGCAGGAGGCAGCCCATCAATGATTCTCTCTCATCATTGATGTTTCTCTCTCTCTTTCCCTCTCCCTTTCTCTCTGAAATCAATAAAGAAATATATTTAAAAAAAATAAAATAAAATACTGCACTTGTAAGAAAGATCTTCGGTTCTGGAATCAGCAATACCTATAATCAATAATCAACCACAAAGCAATCTTAAAATATGATATTGCAAATCCCAGAGCAATACAATTTTTCTTAAATCATATAATTCAGTTGGTTTGTTCCTAACAATTACTTATGCTTAGATTTATGTGAGGCAAATCAAACATTTCTGGTCAGGAAGAGCTCCTGTTGATATTTTATGACAAAATCACGTGTGTTTCCTTGTCAGACTTCCTGAAAATAGCTGGCATTGTGGGTCCTGAGCCTTCCCCTACCCAAACAAGATATTAAATTCGTATCTGCAGCCCGGCCAATGTGGCTCAGTGGTTGAGCGTCCACCTGTGAACCAGGAGGTCAGGGTTCAATTCCCGGTCAGGGCCCATGCCCGGGTTGTGGGTTCCATCCCCAGGGTGGGGGCGTGCGGGAGGCAGCCGATCAACGATTCCCTCTCATCATTGATGTTTCTCTCTCTCTCCCTCTCCCTTCCTCTCTGAGATCCATAATTGGTATTTGCTGAGAAGGAGCACATGCCAGTGCGGTTCTCAGTGGCTGTAGGAGCCTCTGCCTGCCTGAAGGCAGAGAGAACTGAAATCATAAGCCTCCACACTGCCCCAAAGACCAGGGGTGGGGATTCTTAAAAAAAAAATCAAAAAAAAAATCTATATATATCTATATATATCTATCATATATAACTATATCTATATCTATATCTATATCTACATCTACATCTATATATCTATATCTGTATCTATATCTATTATATATCTATATCTATAATTGATTTTTTACAGAGAGGAAGAGAGAGGGATAGAAAGTTAGAAACATCGATGAGAGAGAATCATCAATCAGCTGCCTCTTGCACACCCCCTACTGGGGATGTGCCCGCAACCAAGGTACATGCCCTAGACCAGATTCGAACCTGGGACCTTTCAGTCCACAGACGGATGCTCTATCCACTGAGCCAAACCGGTTTCGGCAAGGGTGGGGATTCTAACGCTAAGTCAGCTCACTGGTGGAGGTCGGGCTCAGCGTGATCAGATGCTCTGATCCACCCAGAAACCTTTCTGAATGAGACACCTGAGTCAGTAGACAAGCTTGCTGGGCCAGATCGCTTGCTCTGTGCACATCTAAGTGAGTTTCAGAAAAACACAGAAGCTAAGATATGCAGGTCACTTTCTCCTTAGGTCAGTGGTCGGCAAACCGTGGCTCGCAAGCCACAGGAAGCTCTTTGGCCCCTTGAGTGTGGCTCTTCCACAAAATACCATGTCCTGAGTGAATCTATTTTGAAGAAGTGGCGTTAAAAGAAGGTTAAGTTTAAACAATGTGGCTCTCAAAAGCAATTTCAATCGTTGTGCTGTTGATATTTGGCTCTGTTGACTAATGAGTTTGCCGACCACTGCCTTAGGTTATAGTGTAATGTCACATTTGATATCTAGCTAGTTACGTGAATGTTGCCTTTGATAGTTCAATTCAAAGGATGCTGTCCAATAGCGCTCGTTTACAAGAGAGAACCACTGCTCAAACAGGTCAAATAAACTTCTCTGAGATAACAGTTCTTGTCAGAGCTGAGGTGGGAACTCAGGCTTGTTACAATGTGGAATATGAAATCATTCATGGAGATAATCCGATGAGAAAGTGTGCGGGAAAATTTCAATAAGATCCCAATCAGTGCGTTTCTAAAGGAGTAGCGTCCATATAAAATGCATGCCGGCTATCTCATTAAAATAAAATATTTTTAGAAAGAGAAGGAAAGGATGGTTTTAGCTTATTTATTACAAAGTATCACCTTTCAACTATTATTTTTGGACCTAAAAGTGGCGTGTGTGTGTGTGTGTGTGTGTGTGTGTGTGTGTGTGTGTGTGTGTGTGTGTGTGTGTAAAGAGAACTGTGGTGATGGATGAAAATGTCACACATAACAACGTAAGGCCTGAAAACTGCTTGGCTCGTCTGCATCCATTGTTAGAAGTTTGCCATCTTGCCCTTTGTGTTGTGAAATTTCCCAGTTTTCGATCCTAACCATTACGAAAGTCAAATAACAGCACAAATTCATAATTACAAGAAAAAAAAACAAACACCCAGGTATCTGTGTGGACAACTAAGAAGATATTCATACAGAGAAAGTATTTTCCCAGGAAACATATCGCCATACATAGGAGTCCGACCTTACCCATGGGGATATATTCTAAAACCCCAGTGGATGCTTAAAAAATCTTTTTCTTCGTGTACATTCAGACCTTTGATAAAATTTAATTTATACGTTGGGCACAGTAAGGGATGGATAATAACTATTATAAAATAAAATAATTATAACAATATCCTATAATAAAAGCCACGTGACTGTGGTCTCTTTCACTTTCCTCATCTCTCAAAATGCCTCATTAGACTGTGGTTCCCTTTCTGTTAAAGGAAGCACTTACAGCTTCTCTGTGGCATGTCTGAATTGCCAGCAGTTCTCGTTTGGTGCTTTGGGGCCATCATTGAGTAAAATAAAGGTGATTGCCCAGCCGGTGCGGCTCAGTGAGTTGAGCATCAACCTATGAACCAGGAGGTCGAGGTTTGATTCCCAATCAGGGCACAAGCATGGGTTATGGGTTTGGTCCCCAGGAGGGGACGTGCAGGAGGCAGCCGATCAATGATTCTCTCTCATCATTGATGTCTCTCTCTCCCTTCCTCTCTGAAATCAACAAAAATATGTATGAAAAACAAAAGAGTAAAACTATGAACAGACATTCGACTGTAAAATAGTGGAAATGCTGTCTTTTTTAAAGAAAAGTTACAGAATTTAAACCAACAGCGCTCGGGAAGTATTATATAATAGCACCTACCTGCTCTTCTGAGAGATTTGTTCCAGTTTCTTGGCTAACGTAGAGCACTCTTCCTTTAACTTGGTCAAAAATGCATTCTGGGAGGTCAGCAGTGAGTACTGTTCACTTTCTAGAAATAACAATAACCCCCCCACCAACAGGAGATGTTTATGGCTGTGGCTCTGCAGTGCTTCCATATGTAGACAGTAAACGCGCTAAGACGCTACCCACATCCCATATGCTACGAGGTCACGTTCAATGTCCTCAGTCAAAGGGCCGCCCACCTGGTGAGACTCTGAATCTTGGGAGACATCTACTTTTCGAATCATTACTCACCAGAAACATTTCTGATCACACCAGCGTGGTGTAATGTTTCAACATGTTACCAGATTACCCAATACCCCGGTGGAGCCCTATAGGCTTCTATCTTGCCATACGCAAGCTATGGTATTTTCTATTTGGACAATTTTACTGTAAAGTGTCCAAAATTATGACAATCAGGAGGTATTGAGGAACTCCATTTATGCTGACATTCATGCTTGATGTCCCCTGTTTGCTCAGATATCCCATTACCCACCCTCTCAACCTTTGTCCTTATGAAGGTGAGATGTGTCATTTGATTTCACTGTCAACAGTATGAGCTTCACTGAAGATCTGGTCAAAGAAACTGAAGCGAGTGTGGGACTTTTGTGCAATCTAAGAGGAAGTGTTAAGATGGTCCTAACATAAGGTGACCAGACCTCCCGCTTTTGGCGGGACAGTCCCGATTTTCCAAAAATCGGAACTGTTTTAAAACGCCGAGGGACGTGGGACAAACTGTTAAAAATAGGGACTGTCCCGCCAAAAGCGGGACACCTGGTCACCTTATTCTAACAGAGACATAATCTTATATGCTCGCAGATCTGCCCAACTCTCTGAGCCCGAGGATCCTGCCAGTAGTGGAGGCAAGCCATAACGTAGCCCCCAACTTCTTCCTTTCTTTCTTTTCATGGAAAACATCTAAAAAGTCTGGTGACTTTTCATTTTTATCTGGACAAATGCTGTTAGGAGGAAGTCTCTATTACGTTGCTGGAGGAAATTGCGTGACTCAATGCAACGTTTACCTCTTCGTAAGTAAAGAGATTATTCAATGAAGGACGCGTTAGCGATGTTTCCTCTTAGAAGGGGCAGTAAGATTTGGACCGGGCCATCAGACGCAGTGGACATTAAATCAGGTGAAAATTGCCTTTAAGTGTGAGGCTTCCGTTTCTTTTCCATTTTAGCAGAAAGCTCTTTGAGCAAAATAAATCAAAAGCACTGGGGAGTAAGCCACCTTTTCCTGCAAGAGGCGGATCGATGGAACTTCTGTCTTGCGGGGACCATCGGCCTGGGGTCTGTGACGTGGAATGATAATGAGTGTGGCCGCCTTGTTGTGACTGACACCACAGTCTGCGAACACACAACTCGCAAGTGACAGGAAGGCCCGAGTCACACAGGGCCAGTTTCCAAGTGCAATTTTACTTTCAAATCAAAGGTAAGGAGTTGCCGGCCAACTGGGCCTGCAGGATCGTGCCAACGCGATGAGGATGAGAGATGGCAATTTTTAGCCGAGCCGCCAGCTGTGGCGGATGCCTTGATGCCCCGGATCCGTGCATTGCAGCAGCGGTTGTGAGAACTTGAAGAATGCAACGGATTAAACATCGCCCGCGCCTGGGAGGGAAGGAGGCAGGGGTGGCCGTGCAAATGCTAAAAATGTTAGAAGCCGCAAAGATTAAATAAAGGAACGGATTCCATTTGGAGCCGCTGAATGGCATCCAGCTGCGACCGTGAATTAAGAGCCGATTAATGGCGAGGGCTCTTCCCCGGTTTGGATGGGGACGCGGACTCATTAGGCTGTTAGGGGCGCTCTAATGCGCGTTCTGCGGGGGCCGCTCCGTGCTATTCGGGGGACCTTTAACGGGGGGAGCTCGGAGCGCTCCCCGCGGCGCCTCGGATGCTATTTTCTCTCCGCGGCATGTGTGCCCGCCGAGCCGGGCCAACAGCGAGCCGCCCTTTGTGTCTCCGCTTTGTTGTGGTCCCGCTCAGCTTTTCCGTCCCTCGCACACAGGTAAATAAACTCATAATCCAGATGGTGCAGCAGATGTGAGAGCAGCACTCCGAAATCAACCAGACCGTGGGCACCGCTTCCCGCGTTCACTTTTAAACGCTAACTAATATGTAATCCGGAGTCTCCGGGGCGGGGAGCATCTGCTCCCTTCGGCCAGCCAAAGGTTACAGGTGTTCCTGATGTCATTTCACAGTGAGGCGTGGGCCCGGCTGGCGGGCGCCGGCCGGCTCTGCGCCCCCCCCCCCCATCGGCCCCCCCGGCCCCCCACCTACCGGTCCTGTCATGCTGGGCCTCCATTTGCTGCATCTTCTGCGTCAGCTCCTGCTGCCTTTGCTGGGCCTGAAGGGCTTGGGCCTTGGCTTCGCTGCTGAGGCTCTGCTGAATGCTCTCTTTTTCCAGTCTGCGGGGCAGGGAGGAGGCGGGGTTCAGTCTACAGATGCACGCCTGCACCCCCGTCCCCCCGACCCCTCCAGGGCCACAGGGAGCTGAGATGCAGGAAATCGTTCAGCCTAAGAAACAATAGTCTTGCCAAAAGCGGTGTGGCTCAGTGGATAGAGCGTCGGCCTGAGGACTGAAGGGTCCCAGGTTCGATTCCGGTCAAGGGCATGGACCTTGGTTGCAGGCACGTCCCCAGTAGGGGGTGTGCAAGAGGCAGCTGATGGTTGATTCTCTGTCATCGATGTTTCTGACTCTCTATCCCTCTCTCTTCCTCTCTGCAAAAAATCAATAAAATATATTTTTAAAAAAAGAAAGAAAAGAAACAATAGTCTTTCCACTCCCCCCACCACCCATCCCCCCCTCCCTCCTGCCCCCGCAATTAGGGGGGAAATCCGAAGGACCTTTCAGGCAATGCGAATACATCCTGTCCACCCAAATGGACTCAGGACTCAACTATCAACATCAAAAAATCGTGACACCTGAGGGATGGTATTTTGTAACCTTGAAACACGAACACCTTCTGCCATACTTTTTCTTGAATCTTCAACCCGAGGATATTTTCCATGGATGTTTAAAGAGAGTAGAAGAGAGGGAGAGGCAGAGAGAAACATCGATGTGAGAGAAGCACAACTGGTTGCCTCCGGCATGAGCCCTGACCAGAGCCCAGGCCTGGGAGGAGCCTGCAACCGAGGGACGTGCCCTTGACTGGAATCGAACCCGGGACCTTTTGGTCCGCCGGCCGATGCTCTATCCACTGAGCCACACGGGCCAGGGCTGCTTTAGCATTCGTCATGTTGTGTAGCCCTGGCGAGTCTTTTCTCTGATGCCTGGTTCCTATTTCCCAAAGACCCTGGAGCTGAAGGAACAGCAGGCTCAGGGTATGCAGTCTGGGATTCTGGAACGAAGCTCTGCAGGCCGCTTCTACTTCCTCCCAAATGAAAACGGAAGCTCAAACGTAACGGCAGAGCATCTATCCAGATTCTAGAGGCAAGTCAAAGATTCTGCGGCCCCACACGCATGTTTTGTGGAATATTCTCACATATCAGCCACGTCATGTGAACATGTATGAAATGAGTAACTTGCCCAGCACTTCATAATAAAATCCCCTCTGGGTCACACGGAGAGAAACTGCAGGCTTAGGCACTTGGTAAACTCTAGAGACTATCGCCCGCCCTTTGTGATTGGACCCGCCCTCTGTGATTGGACCCGCCCTCTGTGATTGGATCCGCCCTCTGTGATTGGACCCGCCCTCTGTGATTGGACCCGCCCCCTGTGATTGGACCCGCCCTCTGTGATTGCACCCGCCCTCTGTGATTGGACCCGCCCTCTGTGATTGATTGGACCCGCCCTCTGTGATTGGACCCGCCCTCTGTGATTGGACCCGCCCTCTGTGATTGGATCCGCCCTCTGTGATTGCACCCGCCCTCTGTGATTGGACCCGCCCTCTGTGATTGGACCCGCCCTCTGTGATTGCACCCGCCCTCTGTGATTGCACCCGCCCTCTGTGATTGGACGGTGACCGTCCATTGGGCCTGATGGTCCCGCTCCAATCACAGTGGCTCCTGAAGAGAGAAACTTCCTGAATAACTAGAACCTGAGGATGCAAAGAACTTAATGGCAGGAGACACTGGATGCTGACACTGGGTGAGTGCACACACACATATGTGCTCTCTCACACACACACACTCACACACACACACACAAGCTCACACACTCACACATGTTTACACACTCATGCATGCTTACACACACATGCTCACATATACATACATTCACATACTCACTCACACATTTACATACACATACACACCCAAGCTCACATACACACTCACAATGCTTACGTACACACACTCACACACTCACATACACACACATACTCACACACTCAGACACACACTCACATACACACACACACCCAAGCTCGCATACACATACTCACACATGCTTACATACATGAGCCCACTCACACACACACATGCTCATGCACATGCTCACATACACACGCACACCCAAGCTCACATACACATACTCACACATGCTTACATACATGAGCCCACTCACACACACACATGCTCATGCACATGCTCACACACACACACACATGTCCAACTCCCCCACACACGCACACTCACACATTAGGTTGGTTCTTCATACTAAATCTGGGTGAGAGAGAGGAGGGTTTCCTCTTAGCTCTTCCCAGCACCCATCCCCCTGTGGGCCCCTCTCCTCCACGCTACTTCCGTTCACTGACTGAGATACTGATGGCCTGGCCTCTGCCAAACCGGAAATAAACAATTCCTAAAGTGTGTCCACTGGTGCATGGACCGCTGTGGGACCTCCATTGGCTGGCTTCTAATTACAGAGCCGCATAAGGAAAGCCGGCACCGAGGCCGGTCATCCCGGGTGGCAGTGGGGTGGTGGAAAATTCCAGAAGGAAAACACACCCACGGCTCACCCAGGAGGATCCACCAGGGTTCCTCCCTCATGTGAGCCTTTCCGGTGTTTCCAATGACATCACCCCCTTGGATGTGCTCCAAGGCCTGGCCTCACCTCCATCCAAACTCCCACTGCATTTGTCAAATGGACATACGCTTTCCTCCCTAGTCACACCATGTGCTTTCTTTCTTTCTTTTTTAAAATATATTTTTATTGATTTTTCACAGAGAGGAAGGGAAAGGGATAGAGAGCTAGAAATATCGATGAGAGAGATACATCAACCAGCTGCCTCCTGCACCCCCCCCACCCCCACCAGGGGATGTGCCCGTAACCAATGTACATGCTCTTGACCGGAATCGAACCCAGGACCTTTCAGTTTGCAGGCCGACGCTCTATCTACTGAGCCAAACCGGTTTCGGCACACACACCATGTGCTTTCCGGCCACGGATCACTGCACGTGTCTCTCTCTGTTTTCCTTTAAAAAAAACAAACCCAAAAACCAAAACACCACATATATATATATATTTTATTGATTTTTTTTTTTTACGAAGAGGAAGAGAGAGGGATAGAGAGTTAGAAACATCGATGAGAGAGAATCATCGATCAGCTGCCTCTTGCACGCCCCCCCACTGGGGATGTGCCTGCAACCAAGGTACATGCCCTTGACTGGAATGGAACCTGGGACCTTTCAGTCCGCAGGCCGATGCTCTATCCACTGAGCCACACCGGTTTTGGCACGTCTGCCTTCTTTGTCATCGTTGTCTCTGTCCCCTGAGCCCAGCTCAATCCTGGGCACCTGGTGCATAGGAAACGGGCAGCAAGAGCTTCTTGAAAGGCTGTCCTTCTGCCCTGAGCAAGGGGGACGGGGGTGGGGTGGAGGGAGGGGCGGCTGGAGTCTTAAAGTGGGGCCGGAGGGCCTGTGCAAGTCTTAGATGAGGAGGCAAACACTATGTTTGCAGAGTGGCTGAGAGAAGCGGCTCTCGTGGCTTGACAGCTGGGGGTACAGGCAGCTGGCGCTGAGAGCATCGTGGGCTTCCACGGAGTAACACCCCCACTCAGACCCCATTTAACTGGAGGTACAGGCAGGGAGACACGGGCTCTGTGATCCCTAATAACTGGGTGACCATAAGCCAAACCCGGTTTGGCTCAGTGGATAGAGCATCGGCCTGCAGACTGAAAGGTCCCAGGTTCGATTCTGGTCAAGGGCATGTACCTTGGTTGTGGGCACATCCTCAGTGGGGGGTGTGCAAGAGGCAGCTGATCGATGATTCTCTCTCAGCGATGTTTCTAGCTCTCTATCCCTCTCCCTTCCTCTTTGTGGAAAATCAATAAAATAAAACAAATTAAAAAAAAAAGATGCGTTGTTAAAACCAATATCATCTGGATAGGGAGAAGGAGGCAGGGTTAATAATGACACGGAGGCAACTGACATAGGGACGCCCCTTTGTCAGTCTCCCATCGACGTTTGGAATTCGGTTGCTGTCTCCCAATAAAACAACCTCAAGGAATGTTCTACCAACAAGTGTTGAGCTCACATCAACTTCTATTTCTTCAACGTTCACTCTATTTGAAACTACACGTTGTATTTTTCAAGGCAGAAAACTCGGCACATGTTTGCTCTCCTACCTCCTTCCTCTCCCTTCCTTCTATGTTGCCTTCTCTCCTTGCAGGTTTGTTCTGACTTAGCAGATTTCCTATGAAACCTTAAAAGGCTAAAATTGAAAGGGAATCTCAGATCTGTTTAATCAAAACCTGTCCTGTTATAGTTGAAAATAAAAGAGGATCCTAAGTAATTCGAAATCTGCTCAAAGGTCATGTTTTAAGGGATATAAAGGCAGAAGTGAAATTGAAATATTTTGATTTAGGGAAACCTATTTTTTGTTAAAATATATTTTTATTGACTTCAGAGAGGAAGGGAGATGGAGAGAGAGAAACATCAAATGATGAGAGAGAACCCTGGTCAGCTATTTCCACATGTCCCACACTGGGGATGGAGCTCACAACCTGGGCATGTGCCCTGACCGGGAATTGAACCATGATCTCTTGGTTCATAGGTTGACACTCAACCACTAACCTACACTGGCTGGATGGGAAACCATTTTATAACAGTCTAGGAGTAATGCGTGTATACACACACACACACACACACACACACACACACACATAGTGGCCCTGCATATGAATCTGTGTGCCAGTAGCTCACCAGTAGCTCCTACTATCTTCAACATATTGACTTCTTTACTCAGAATACGCAGAAAGTACTTTCAAAATTGCTCACCTTCTATGGGAAGCAACTCTACTCAGACATGGAATTAAATATCTGCTCAAAGTTTTGTGGATTTTTGTTTTTTGTGATTATTTTTTAAAATAATTGCATATACCAGTTGTTGGCAAACTATGGCTCGTGAGCCACATGCGGCTCTTTGACCCCTTGAGTGTGGCTCTTCCACAAAATACCACGGCTTGGACGAGTCTATTTTGAAGAAAATGGCATTAGAAGTGTAAGTTTAAAAAATTTGGCTCTC